GGAGTAGAGGCCAGAATAGGAAGACCCTAAGGTGGCGAATGGCCAGGGTGTAGGGAAGGACGGAGCCCCGAGATTGCCCGCGGAGGAACGCGTCAGCACCGAGGTATACCCCAAGGGAAGACCCCCCACTGAAGACGTCATCAAAGTCGTGGCAGGTGAGTTTTGGGGTCCCCCTTGATACCAATCTGGGTAAACTTCGGGGCGCATCAGCAAAGCCTGGGTGGGCGAGATCTGGGGCCCAGGCGAAAGCGGCGCGTGATCTCCTGGTCGAGCGGTGGTGGGTACAATTAGTATTGATTCATCCTCAAAAAATCACTTTATAAGGGCTTTCTGCACTAAGAAATACCATCTAATCATAGTAGCACTTCGAAGTGCAAAGGAGCTGAATTACGAAATGTTTGATATACAAACTCTAAACTGAAGCAGTGAACAGTATCAATCAAATTCCAAACTAAAGTGCAATCTCAGTATTATGAGTCCCTATGGGACTAGAAAAAAGTTTGTTAAAAGAGGTTAATCACTGGAGTAGAATTAGGCAATTTGCTGTGTCATAACAATGAAATAAAAGCAGTTCTTGCTGTTGGGGTTGTTAAAAGGGGTTTATTATAGATCAGGATCATCATAAATCAGGCTATGCTGCAATGTGTCAGAAAGTAGACACGTGACATTTTTTGAGAGCACCAGTTTAAAGCAATTGATCTGTCCCCTCTTCCATGGTATCACTAAACTTTTAAAAACAGTCTTGGTATGAGTCTTTAACACAGACATTTCCAATTAACTGCAAGATCAATCAAATCTTTCTAGTAGTATACTTATGACCACATTTTCTGCTGCAAACAAAGAGTGCATCTAATCCACTAGAATCTATGTACACTCATTCTTTTCCCCTTTGGCTTTCAAATTTTGAGTCTAGTAAAACCTCTACACTTCTTTCTGAGGTCATATTTAGAAAAACAAAACAAGGATTTCTAAAGCAATACTTTTGAAGCATGCCATTTTTGGCTTACAATTAATAGTAGATATACATTCAATCAAGAGGCTGATTGTGGTCTCAGATGTACTAGTATTTTTGGCAAAGTTGCAGTGATTGTGCTTATATAACCAAGATTAAGACCAAAGCATAAAATAACTATAACTGCTAGATATGAAATGCTAGAGAATACAGAAAATGTAACAAGTCCTTGAAAATTATAATAAAAATAAAATGCATAAATACATACAGAGAAGGGTTCCATATAACATCCAGGTGCCTACCATAGCCAGGAAAAATAGAAACAAGATGAAGTAATAATGGTTTCCAACACCTGTTTGAGACAAAAAAAAAAAAGACTTTCATTCTGTGTCTTACCAGCATTAGTATTTTCCCCAAACTTAACAGGGATAGAAATACCATGAACATCAAGTGTTAGATTCACTATCCTCAGTATATCTGACAAATCTGCTTTAACGTTTTTCTCAACTTGCTTAAGCTAGTCACCCTAATTAAGTCATTGAAACTGTGTATGATATTGTTGACGAGGACTGGATCTACTACTTGGAGTTTGACATAAGCAAACACAGTTCTTTTAACTTGGTGAAAATCAGTTATATATCCTCACTTCTGTTCTAGCTCATAATAATCTCCTTGGTATGATAGTTAACCTGCACTACTACTACTTTGTCTGTTCTGCAGCATTATGAGCATACATGTGAAAACACACAGACTGCATTTTGGGCTTTGTAACTAATATAATTATTTTTCTTTAAATGATTATTATAAAAAATGTTCACTTCTTTGAAACTTTACATCAGAATTAATTCAGTCTTATAAATATCTTGTAGACACCCCAGAGCAAAATTTTAAGTATTAAAATTTCCCATTTGTAAGTAAAATCATGGCTTTAAAGGATATCCTTCATAGCAATACTATTTGTAACAGTTCTAGCCAGTGTGGTTCCCCATTAATTATAGGGTTTGGAGACCCTTGTGAGCTCAGAAAACTCTAAGCTCCCTCAGTGACTTCATTTCAGAGTATCCTTCAAAGAAGGACAGTATACAGTCCTCAGGGGGACCAAACCTCTTCGTGCTTCAACTGCAGATGATAACTAAATTGTGACATTACATATTCTATAGGTGCTTAACAAACATCCTGCAGTTCTTTCTATGCAAGGTATATTTTCCAAGTGTGTTAAAACAAACTCACCTACACATTGGCCAGTCCATAGACAATGTTGGTCATATCTAGCTACACATGCGTTGCAAGTAAGACAGTGCATGGATCTCAAAGGTTTTTTTATCTAGGTAAGGGTACAAGAGAAAAATACAACAACATACAGAAAACACAGAAACATTCACTGTCACTCTAAATTTCTGGCTCCTTTAAAAAAAAAAAAAAGAGAAAAGAAAAAGATGAAATTCTCTCTCATTATAGAATAAGTTTTGCAACATTACATAAAGGACACAGTTATGCTTTAAGAAAAAACAAAAACAAAAAACCCACAACACACACAAAAATAAATCTATCTACATCAGTTTACAAGACTTGTAATTAAGGTTAAGGACCCAGACCCTGCAGCCCTCGTTCATGAGAGGTAATATTGAAGTCACATAGTAAAGGTAATGGTGCGGAGGGCACATGTAGACTTCAGGAAATTATGCACATAATACAGGGTGTATGAAAAAGAAGCAGAACTTAAACATGCAACGAAATCTAGCTTTTATTAAAAAGAAATCATCAAAGCTTCACTTACAAGACATGATGTGCAAAATGTTCTGAAGTCCAAGCAGCCAGCTTCTGCAAGAGTAACAATACTCTGAAAGACAAGTTATTTTACAATTGCATTTATCTAATGATTTTTCAGGGGCATAAGGATGGTTAGTCTGTTAATAAATACATTGAAAAGTATTTCTAAGCACCAAACAACTTTGTTATTGAAAATATGCAGCCAGAACTTTAATGTTTGCTTGCTTCTTACATTTGATAGGGGACAGGTTCATAGAAAGGAACAACAGACAGAGATCTATGTAGTCTTCTAAAATACACTCCCATCCATGCAACAAGCTGTCTTTCTTTCTCTCTCTCTCCTTTTTTTTTTGTGGGGGGGAGGGGGAAGGGGGAGTGTGGAGTGTCATGTCCACAATAATTCAAATCATATAATATAGTTCAAAATCATACAAATAGTTCATATCGTACACATGGAGTATACTCATTTTCCATGAAGTACTGCTCACACGATCAGAGGTACTTCTGGACAGGTAATAATTTATATGGCAGCCCATGCAATTAACATGAGTGATCATTAGGGGAAAAGTTGGAAGTTCCCTGTTAATTGGTGCCCACCTCCTACTCTAAATACAATTTAGTAAGGCTGCCCTAATACTTTTCCCAGTTTTCCAAAACATACAATAGGAAATCACAATACTGCATGATAACCAGAACCTCAAGTCACCCAAGCATTATGAGTAGATGCATAAACATGCATAACAATATTACAAACAATGCCACATGACACAATTAATCATGGTTGGCGGACCAAATTCTATGCTAATTTTTACCACAGACAAGTTCAATGATATTTTACAGTAGGCAGGCTTGTATACAATTTGGCGCTCTCAACTTTTAGACAGACAACATACATGAGAAGAAAATAGGGAGAAGAGTTTTAAAAAGCAACAACTGAAAATTTACAGTGTATGGACAAGCATGAGTTGCAATTTCAGGTACTAAAAGTTAAAACGATTATAAAGAGTTAGAGTAAAAACATATCACTGTTGACTGTTTTTGAACAAAAACAAAAAGAAAGGATAAATGAGCAGAAATGCATTGCATTACGTAGTATTTTTATGAAGGTAAAAATACCTTTTTTCTTTCTTCTTCTGAAGCCTTTATGAATCCAGGATCAGTTTTCCAAGTTTTGTAGAAGTAATAGAGAAAACCAAATATGCTGAGGACAAAAAACCACTGAAAAACTGTGCCTACTAAATGTAGAATTCAAGTTAAGGAATATACTTTTTGTATCAAGTATTATAAAAAATTATTAATATAACTAAACTTGCATTACTTAACTGTAGTTTTACAAACTATGATACTGAATGAAAAACGGATGGATTTTATTCTTAGTAGTAGTATACTCTTTGTATTCCACAGCATGTCACATAGCTATTGTGCTCAATACAGTTCTAGAGATGTATCTTTTTATCATCAGTAGACATACGTTTACTTCAGGATCAAAGTTCTCAATTCCCATTTCTGATCCTGGACAATATAAACCTCTAGTATAATTTGGTATGTTTTTCTCCCCAGTGGCTGACTAAAATAATAGTAATATTATTAGGTAAATATAAGATTATACAACATATATAGACAGGTATACAGGGTGAAGGTACAGTATTGCTCACATATAGGTATTCACTGCACTATTTTCTTGTATATAAAGCCTGACATCTATCAGAATAATACTTACACAATTAGTACAAACTTTTTATACTCTGGTATTGTAAGCATTTGTTAACAGTTTGAAAAAAAAACAAGAAACAAAAAAACACCATCTGAAAACAAACTAAGTTAGGACTGGAATCTTTCAGTATTTCAGAATCATTTAATACTTATACTTCAAGAGCCTTTTTTTTTGTAAACTGCAAATAACTGACATAATCTATAACTAAAATCAAATGACCAAATATCAGTTCTGTGTATTCCAAATGTCATCTTATCTGTATCTCATACCAAGTGTAGTTATGTTGAAATTGCAGGAACCTTTATTTTTATTATAAACCAGTATGATAGTACCTTTCTCTATGAATACTGGTAATACTGTGCATACATTTCTGCTGTTTTGAAGATCTCAGGGAGCAAATCTATGGACTAACTGGGCTTTTATAAAATGCATAGTAAAGGTTCAGTAAACATGTGACTGAATTTTTGGTTTGTGGACGAAGTCTATGGGCAGTTCCAGAAAGGAAATATGTGCAAACATAGTAAAGTGGAGAGAAAAAAAAGGTAATGACCTACTTGCCCATATTTTTTCAAGGAAAACTTGGGGCTTCTTGAGTTCGTTTTGTTCAAAGTTTCTAAACCATGGAAAAAAAACTGCCCAGTTCAAGGTCTTAATTTTTTTCAGTCTGGAAACAAAAAAGGAGCTCAGTGATATTTTATAAACTACTGAAAGATCTATTTTTTAAATGAAACCAAAACCTTAAACTCCACATTTACACACTGCAGTAACAAATAATTGACTTACGATTGAAACAAATATATGCATGAACTCCCAAATGGAATATCTCCAAGCAATTCACAGAAATTAATCCTGATAACTGTATTAAGGAGATCTCATTAGAAACAGTACAAAAGAAAATGCCACTTAAGGGATGAAGTAATTGAAAATGAAATGCTGCTTAGTGTAGGAATACTTCAATGCTTCTTTAATACAAAAATTATTTTCAATTACAAATATCTTCCTAACACCTTCTTTTTTGAAGGATCTGTTTATAAAATGAAAAAGTAAAGTCCTCTGTAGCAACAAAGCAGCAGACAGGCAAATGAGTGCAACAACGTGTGTATATCAGTTTACACTCATCAATCAATCCACTGCCTTCTCAAAGCACTGAAGTATCATTAAGGAGAAGTCTGTAGTTAGTGTACAACACAGGACATGCACCTCAATCTTAAACATACATGAAGACAGGAAACCTGCCCGTTTTTTAAAAAGCTACAACCACAGCATGTTATTTGTTGAATTAACCTCATTTCAGGAGCAGGAAGCATTACACATTTTTATTTTTAGAGTCAAGAATGTATTGGACCAATGGCATGACTGGGATAGATTTTAACACATTTTTTAATGTACTATATTCTTGTTTTGGCCCTGATACAGTGAAATGCTTAAACCTGTGCCTGCCACTGCTCAACATGACCAGAATAGGAAAGGTTAAGCACTGATCCTGCTGACATTTGCTTGTTATCCATCCCATGAATTTCCCAAGGATAACTCCTAGGCACAGTCCTTCAAAAACCTTATGCTTATTTTACTTGTGCGTGTTGGAGTGAAGTTGTAGCCATAATGGTCCAGGCAACATGTGAGGGGCAAGGATATTTTGGAGAGGGGTGATACCTTTTCAGGGCCAACAGCAAGGTTGGGAGAGATTTTAGATAAGCGTTTGAGCACAAAGTACTCTTCTTTAGGTCACCTCCTCAGGGCATAGTGTATTCCTAAGAAAAGGTCACCCAAAGAAGAGTACTTTGTGCATAAAAGCTAGTCTAAGATCTCTCTTGATCATGCAGCTGGTCCAGTAAGATATCATCCCCCCAAAAATATCCTTGCTTCTCACCTGTTTCATTTGACATTTCACAGGAAATCATTTTACTTCTCTTTGCATAAAGGATATCAGGCAGGAACCAGACAAACCAGGTTGTGGACATCCAAACTATGGAACTTAGCATAAATATTGCTGGTAGGTGTTTTAGGTTCTTGAACCCCAGGAAGTGCCTGAAAGACAATATTAAAAGGTATGCTTCTATTATAGGAAAAGATATTTTTCTAATGATAATATACAATTCTCTTCCAAGGTACTGAAAAATCATTAAAAAACTTGACTCAGGCACATACTGGGCACTTCCTCACATGCTCCGTGGCATTGGGGGGGGGGGCGTACTTTAATTAGAGTGCCTCCAACAGCTGCTCTAATTAAAGCACCACAGTTTCTCATATATCAATGTTCCTGCACTTCAAAATGGTGGCAGGGGCACTTGAACTATAGCTCGTTGAATGAGGTTTAATTCAAGTGTCCCTGCTGCCATTTTGAAGCGCAGGGACACTGATACATGAGATATGGGAGGCTGCTGGAGCACGGTAATTGCCATGCACTGGAGCACGGTAATTCTCCAATGCACTGCAATGACAGCACAGGAAAAGCCTCTGCTCTTGTGTACAGACACTCACTGAGCTTCCATTTAAAATGAATTTGAAACTGCAGCTCAAAAAGATACTGTGGCCAAGCACACTGGTACATAACCGCAATGATGTTTTGTGATGGCAGGCTCTTCCATTCTAATATGTGATGTCAAAATTAGGTTGGTTATTTTTATTGTGTCAAGAAAATACAGATTGTACACAAGGGCAGTACTAGCATCATTTCAACAAACAGTAGCTATAAGGCAAGTGAACTATAGGCTGGAAAATAATTTTGGCTGGTGCTGTGGAAGGAGTTCTGAGGGATCTTCTATTGGGGGTCTGAAAGCATAGGCGGGGAAAAGTTAAGCTAATTTGCATGTCCAAAAATACCAACAGATGAGGTAGGCATCATGAAGGAAGAACTCAGCCTGTGGTAGATCAGATCCTCAAAAGTATTTTAATTTTAATGTAATTAAAATGTTCTGCTTTAATTTAAATATATTTAAAGACCTTTTCTGTAACATTTATGGTAAACAATGTTTTGAAAGGTATACCTTTCTTAACTTCTATAATCATTCTGATAAAGGATTTCGAGAAACATAAGGAAATTAGTTATTTTTAACCAGTTAACTTAAAAGCTAAACATGAGTCTGTGAGGCGCTCTCAAAAGAATACTGTACAAGATATATACAAAAACATTTGCAAAATAAATACAGGCACAGAAAAGGTAAATGCACAAACCTTACAAACAGAATCATCGCCAAAAACAGAATGACAAGCAGACTTCCTTTCAAAAGCCATGAATCAGAATTTAAGTCCAGGATATATCCTACAGCCCACATCAATGTCAAGCAAGACACCAACATCAGGAATACCTATCAAAGGTGATTATTGTAGTAATAATGTATATAACATACTGTATTAAATAAAATGCCAAACCATGTAAAACAAAAATAATTTCAACAAATTATTGTGAGATCTAAGGTGGAAAAACAATTCTCTGAGGAGATAACCACCATATTTTGACAATGCAATAGCACTGCATTTTGTACCAAAGTTTCTAACAGCAATCTCTTTCTTAAACAATCAGGAACAGTATTAGGAAATAGACAACTTTTAACTTCTTAAGTAAACTGTTCATCAGCTGAATTATGTTACTACGTCCAGTGGTGTCTCTTAAAATAACTGTATATTACCAGAAATGTGACTGTACTATTTTTCTTATGAATACCAGCTACACATAAAACAAATAAAAAGGATCTCTCCAGCTCCTTACCAACCACATCAGTGAAAAATGACCAAAAATCTTCCTTGAAGAAAGATAACAGAATTTCAACAAAATTTAACTCCACACTGTCCATTTCAGTGAAATGTGAATGCAAACTTTTGAAACCATTTTTACAGAAACTGAATAAAGACTACAAAATCATTTGAGTTTTCTTCAGTGTGCAGTGATTTAAGTCTACAGAAGCAGTTCACTTCTTTTAGTTCAGCAGCTCACTAAAAATAAGGGTGCCTATAGATGTGCTTGTTCGCCTTCTAATTAAAACTTGTCAGAGCAGACTATTAATTGAGTCTGCCCTGCATTCTAATTAGAATGCTCCAACGTCGCCTCACCATCACATGTATTAAATCCTTGCGCATTTTAAAATGCTTGCTTTATCCAAACCTTGTTGAACGAGCTTTAGATAACGCATCCCATGGCTGTTTTGAAATGCACAGGGCCTTAATACACATGATGATGAGCCATGTTAATTAGAGTGGCTGTCTGGGGACTGCTCTAATTAAAACTGCCCCCACCCCCGAACACATGTATAGGCAGCCTAAGAGCCTGACTCCATAAAGTCCAACATTCACTTGCTATGTAAATCTGTTTATCTGAAAATTATTTACATACTGGCACAACAAGTCTTAGAGAACAAGTCTTATTAGAAATCAAGTGCAGAACCATTATACAAGTATTCAGACAAGGAAGTGACCAACACTACTAAGTAAGGCTTCTTAAAAGCAGCCTTATGCTCCCAGGGGGAACATCTACACGTGTGATTTAATGTGCAGCAGCCTATTTTACTGTGCATTACATTGTCACATAAAAAACTGTGCAATTACACTAATGCACAGTAAAATAGCCTACTTCACATTAAGCGTCACTTTAAAAATATGCACTTTCAGTACTGCACATTAGGGCAACCTAATGCGAATTTATTTAGTACCTCACATTGGAGGTACAAAATTTAATATGCATTAGGAAAAGCGCATTAATGAACATGTAGACACACCCACGGAATAGGAAAGTCTGACTTCTTCAAGGACTCTTGCTGAATGCTAGATTGCTAAAACCCACTCAACAAGCACTTGTCATTTAAAAACTTAAGCCTCAGTGCCTAACATATGCCCAGCATCAGACCCATATATTAAAAAATATCCGCTGTTATCTGTATATCACAAATCAGTTCCATATGACTATACCTCATATTTTTCTAATGTCCTGAGTAATCTGGACTTTTTTCTGGTTCTCATTTTTTCTTCTTGAGTTAGCATATGGATAATTAAGTGATTCTGAGTCTGATGAGCAAGGTCAAGTGGTGTGTCTCCCTTAAAGAAAAAACAATATTATTTTTCTTAATACATGTGTATTTAAATAACTGTCTTTAGAAAAGAGAAGCAAAGAAAAGAATAATTTATGAATACATAAATTAGAATATATAAATTTATTTATTTTAGAGCTGATTTGGTTTGCCACTATTATTACAGAAGTACAACATAACTACGTCAATCACAGAGTTTCTGCTTGCTGTACATACTAGTTGTCAGTGCTAACAAATATGAATGAGAAGCTACACACAGTCTCCAAAGAAATACTATAACTTAAAGTTCTGGCAAAGTCAGATGTACAAAGTATGACAGTGCCAAACAGAAAAGGCCAGGTAAGTAAAGTATAAAAAGGACAGTATTCTAGAACTCTCATGTGATAATGAAAGATGAAATAGCTTGATCTACAGATCTTAATAACCATATAACATGCACAAATATTCAGTCTCGAAATGTAAGTTTAGTAAATGTTGCAAAGCATACATGTCAATGCTAATTTTAACAAGCATTATGACCAAGATTTTCAGAAGTGACTAGTGATTTCTGGTCTCCATCCTGGGACATCTTGAAGGGATTGGGTTTTGTAACAGGGGACCCTTGCTCTGTTACTGGGAGAACAAACTTGCAAAGGCCCTTAAAAGTAGTATCTTTGTGGCCCGAAGGGATAATTATTCAGAGAAAGGAATTACAGTAGGGAAGCTGGACAAGAATGCCAACAGAAAAAAGCCCCCAGGAGGCACACAGCAAAGAGGGAAAGAAAGACAGAGCACCTGCAATCACCAGCAGTCCTGTCACAGGTGAACTGAACCTAAGCAGAGTCTCCAGGCCAGCTGGCAGGACTGAAGGAACTAACTGAAATCCCTATACTCAGGCCAAGCAATAGGACTGGCTAGCTAAAAGGAGAGGGATTTACTTGTACAAGAGGCTAGCCCTCAGGTCAATAGGGTCACCCTAGCCCTGGCTAGGGAAGGATAAGGCATTCCTTGGCAGGCTGCTGTAGTGTGTGGAGTCAAGGTAAAGTGAATCCCGGCATGCAAGGGTGAAAAAGTCTCTTTCAATTTCTGAACTGACCTAGAATGTGGATGATCTGCATTTGTATAGTTCTCTGTTTTGTGAGTACTTGGCTGAGCTGTGCTTTTTTTTTCCTTGTGGTCAGGTTAGTAACAACTGGAAGACTGGGAGCCTCTCTGAGGGGAGGCTAGGAGGCTGTGTTGCAAGTGCCTTAAAGCATGAAGAGGTTTTGTCCCATCCTAAAGCTAGAGGGACAGCAGTACAGGAGTGAGCACTGGGAGGGCACAGTGAGGCCAGGAAGCCAGAGAGAAGAGAATGGGCATTGTGAGGGCTGGGGAGGCCAAGAGTCCAAGAGGGTTTAACCCCTTTAAGGCCAGAAGGCCAGAGAGGGAGAAGTTAGCTTGGCAAGAGCCCACTAGACAGTAGAGACGTGTTGACCATGTGGGGCCAGGGGGCCTAGATAGAACTTAAGTTGTGGTTTAAAGCACAGCAGGGCAGCTGCTGCTGAGGATCCAAGGCCAGAATAAGGGGGCCTGGGCTGAAACCAAAGCAAACAGCCCAAACCCAAAGGGCTGATACCTAGACAGATGAGACCTATTGAGCCAGGCAGCTCTAAGATTACAGCAGATTGACACCCAGGAGACATGGCTTATGGCTGCAGGTATGGGGGAGGCTGCAATTAAAACCCTAAGGCAATTTAACATCAGTTGGGCCAGTTTAACACCAGTAGCTCAGATTAGTTACGCCCACTAAAATTTTTAAATATTAATAAAGTAGGCTTGAATCAAGGCAGCACAGTAAAAATACCACTCCAGGGCTCTGGATGCCTCCTACAGGACTATTTATTTCATCCAGGTGTGGCAGGAAAGACATCTAGTGGTGGTATAGAGAAACTGGAGTGGGGCAGGCTAGCCCAGCTGTTAAGGGCACTGCTCCTGTCCCCCAGGGCCAGGCATGTCACAAGTTCACATAAAGATGTTCAGAACTTCCTGAAGCCAAGTCCCTTTAAGAGTCTCACTAAGTATACAGAAACTACTAACCACACTTGAAAATACTGGCCTAATTACTTAACCTCGACAGCACTCCTGTACAATAGGTAACATCATCCACAAATGATCAATAGGGAAACAAAGGCAGAAATCCTAATCCTGCAGGCCTGCCTGCAGTAAAAGTACATGGATACTCACTGAAGTAACACAGCAAAAATGTGGGTATCCAAACTGTAACACAAGAAGTTTCCATCTCAATTCTAGAAAAACTAAGCAAGAATGCCAATACTGATTTTTATGCCATTCCTCCTTCTATTAAAAAGGACATCAATGTTTTAATGGCCTTCAACAGCAGAGGACAAAGCCTTAGGATTTATTTCCCATGACTGCACCACATAGAACGAAGTGTAATGTGAAAAATTAAAACTGTACCTTGACATTTTTGATGTCTATGCTAGATCCAGCCTCTAAGAGCAAATCTACAGCATCAATATTTCCTGCTATAACTGCCCAATGCAATGCAGTATTCTTCTGGACTTTGTCTACAGCATTGAGAGAAGGATTAAACTTTAGAAGAAATCTAGTAGGTTCTGGTCTAGGAGAAAAACAAACACAAGTTACAAATCAATTGGAAAAAAGGGAACTTAAAGAACCCCCCCCCCCCCCCCCCCCAAAAAAAATCTTTAAAAAACTGAACAACACAACAGCATCATCATGTTTCCATCATCATTTTATAGATGGGTGGAGAGAGAGAGCCTGGTGAGGCTGCTCAACAGCACATACTCCGTCAGCAGCAGAACCAAGATTTGAGTTTAGAACTGCTCAACACTTATTTCTGTATATTGTGCTGCCTCACTGTTGGTAAGCTAATGAGTTATGAGTGTAGTTTATAATTGTACCTTATGGACTGTGCAGTAAGGTTCTGGTTTTTCTTTTCTCTAACCCCATGTTACTTACTGGGGTTCATGCAGACAGCTTAAAACTGCTATTAGTATCTGAAAACCAGCTGGCTGCAGCATCAATGCACTCACACCAATACC